CTTCTAGTATTGTCATGCACACATCACTAGTTATACATAATTTATACCTTTCTTAATTTTTTTCCTCACAGATATCTACAGACAAATGCATTTTTTTGTATTTTTTTATGATTAGGAAATCTAGATATGAAAAATATTGACTTGATTGATCTTAGTATAGCTGTTCTTATGCTAAGCAATCTGGACTTTTAAACTGTGAAATGATTTTCTGTGCCACTTGGTTATACATTTTGAGACTGGTACTCCATGAGATATATAAGAAAATAAAGATCAATGAATCTCAATCTTTTCTCTGTGATATCTGGGAATGCAAAAGGGTAACTCTCAAAATCTTCCTTTACTTAATTTCACGTGGTGGTATCAAATATGGCTGTCCATGGACTTAAAAATCATTATGGTAATAACTTTCAATAGGATTGCTTTTTCTTTCTAAATTGTAGAGTATCAAAAGCTGCTGTGCAAGTATTTGAAGACTGACTAGGGTCTAATAATTCATTCTGTATGAAGTTTTTTAGTAGCAGTATATCATTGTACAATTGTGAGTAATAGCCCAAAAGTTTATGTTATTTTGTCAACCAAACTTGATGGAAGATCACTTATTTTTATGAAAATAGATTTTGAATTATCATTGTTTAAAAGTTTCTGCTCATTGATGGGGTTTAAAACCATTTCAGTGCTGACAAAGAATTTGGCACAGAGCTAGAACTAAATGCCCATTAGTGGTGGTAGCACACTGAAAGTGTTCCTTGGTAGGTCTTCCTCGGTAGAAGAGGATAGAGAGAACAAATCTATTGTGCTTTTCATCTCAATGCCTGGATAAAATTAGTCAGCTTAGAAGTTCATCCAGTTGCATTTATGTACTCTGCACAAAGAAATGTGATCATTGTGTAATCACAATGACATTGTGGCTGTCTATCCTCAAAATAATTAAGATCAAATATTCAGTTTCGGTGCACAAGAGGAGCTGTGGAGTTCACAGAGCCTTTTAACACTTTCCAAACTGATGGAAAGTACAAGAAATCATGCTAAAATGGTCATCAGAGATGCCCAAAAGTATAGATGACTGATTACAAGTTGGTCACCACCTCTTTTGAATCATAGAATCATAGAATCACAAGGTTGGAAATGACCTACAAGATCATCTAGTCCAACCGTCTTCACACTACCACTGCTACTACAAGCTACTAAACCAGATCTTGCAGCTCCATCATCCAGACGCCTCTTGAACACTGCCAGGGACGGCAACTCCACCACCTCCCTTGGCAGGCCATTCCAGTGCCTGACCACTCTCTGAGAGAAAAAGTTCTTCCTTAAGTCTAACCTAAACCTCCTCTGGTACAACTTGCGGCCATTTCCCCGGGACCTGTTTTTTATCTGGGAGAAGAGGTCAAACTCCTCTTCACCACAACCTCCTTCAGGAATTTGTAAAGTGCAATGAGGTCTACCCTGAACCTCCTCTTCTCCAGACTAAACAATCCCAGCTCCCTCAGCCGCTCCTCATAAGACTTGTGCTCCAGACCCCTCACCAGTTTCATTGTCCTTCTCTGGACATGCTCCAGGGCCTCAATGTCTTTCCTGTAGTGTGGGGCCCAAAACTGAACACAGTACTTGAAGTGCGGTCTCACCAGTGCTGAGTACAGGGGGATGATCACCTCCCTGCTCCTGCTGGCCACACTATTTCTAATGCAGGCCAGGATGCCATTGGCCCTCTTGGCCACCTGGGCACACTGTTGGCTCATGTTCAGCCGAGCATCAACCAGCACCCCCAGGTCCCTTTCCTCTTCACAGTCATCCAGCCACTCGTCCCCAACCCTATAATGCTGCATGGGGTTGTTGTGGCCGAAGTGCAGGACCCGGCACTTGGCTTTCAAATGAAGAAGCAAGAGAATGCCAAGATGAGGAAAAGTAGAAAGTACTCAAGAAGAAACACTGTCCAAGACTAAGTGGTCTACAATAATAACAACTTAACTCACAGTCTGTGTAATGCTTTACATTTTGCATTAATAGGTGTTTATCTGCCTACCTATTAATCACATCTATCAAGTCTGACTGAACCATCTTTGTTCTGGGATTGTCATTTGTGTTAATGGGGAATCAAAATACCTAGTGTCTGGAAGCATACAAAAATAACACCAATATTAAAGCTGGGTGGATGAGTTTCAGGCTCTGTGCGAAGACCATTTCATGTAGATGTGTTCACAGACTCAATTTGTCTAAACACAAAGGCCATTTATATTTTCTTTTAAAACTCTTACCATTCCATTGGCTAAACATTTCATACTAAATCTTGTAATGGAACTTTTAAGGTACCTTTAATCTCTGTGGAGGAAGTACATACAACCATGATCTTCTTTATCACCGCGTCTATTAGTGCAGCCAGACTAGCATCTTAAGTTGCAAACTATGCAACAGATGTGAGAGTTTACTGCTAGGGACTTTCGTCCCTTTTCCTTTAAGTGGTGGACAGAGCTAGTTATTGTTTCTCAGAGATAAAGGAGATTCTTTCTAACTTACAAAGGCACTATGGTAATAACTGCTTCAGAACCCATTCCTAATCTCCTCATATGTGCAGAAGAATCAATTCCAATTTTTCTGCTTGCAATATCTAATGCAAATATGAAATTCAACAAAGACAAGTTCTGGGGTCTGACTAGCCAGGTGAATAGCTTTATGCAAAAAGTCATTGGACTCTGGTATGCCTAGGAGCCTGCAGTGTATGCTGGCAGCAAACAAAGACCAGGAGCATCCAGTTTCAGTCTAGGTACTAGAGAATCCAACCCATAAGTCGATTGAACGGAGAGGTTTTACAGTGTCTGTCCTTGTAAGATTTCAGGACCAAAGGTTGGGAAATTGGGTTTGAGCTCAGAACTGACTCTGCTTTGGTCTGAAGGCCCGGAATAGAGACCTGTGGTCTTTTCAAATCTGAATTACACTGTGATCCTTCCAATTCAATAAAACATTTCATGAATAAATAACCCTCTTTCTCTTTCAGTTCTGGTGAGTTGTATGCAGTTCTTTTTGGTAATTATTTCAAATTCTGTCATTTTAACTTAAATGTCTAGTTATTTGAATGTTTCAATATGGATAAATATTTCTTATTCTGCCAGATTTTATGATAATCCTTCTTTGGTATAGCAAAAGTGAAGGAAACTTAGACAAGTTATATAACAGTCTTGGCATTATGTAAATAGGATTGGATCTGTAGAGTGAAGCAGGTGTTGTTAAGAATCTGACATCATTCAAGACTAATTTCAGGAGTTTTAATTTGGCCAGCTTTGGTGTGATCCTATGGATTGAATGTCTTTCAGTGCTTTTGGCATGTTAGATGAAGTTTTGGTTCAGTTTCATCTGAAAGGAATCCAGTCTAATTGCTACAAAATTATACTGCAATGTGGACAGAAATGTTGTGAGGACAATGAACAAGTTCCTTTCAAAAGTATCCTCCTGGTCAGAGTTAAAGTGTTAATATGTAATTAGTCATAGTTCTTTACCACCTGCACAGGAGATAAATGTATGATATGTTTTGATCACTCAGTTCAGCAGATAGTAAAATAGACCGATTCTGTTTCAGGAATACCTTGTGAGAAACCACCATTTCAAGTAAAAACCAATCAAGTAATGTTATATGGTACTAGGAATGTTAATATACAATACTTGACATTCCTAGCAGATTACATTAGTGCTTAAGAGGTACAGTAGACTTAAGAGATACAGTAAGCTTCTTAAAGGAATGCAAACCAATAGCTAGTATGAAACATGAATAGATTTGTTGCATCTCTGTTCTGGAATTCCAGAATAACCCACAAAATCAGAGCTCATAGGATTTACACTGGCTTCTGCCAGCGTAACCTTTGGTGCCAACTATGATATAAATCTGGTGGGAAGGATGTCCTCAGTGGATTGCCTTTACTACTTAAACTTAAATTCCTTCAAACAGTAAGAATTACATTGGTAACTAGCATTTATTCAGTTAAATAGTGTATGTCCATTGTCCCTATTGGTGCAATGTAGATAGCAGTTAAGGTCAAACAGCAAATATTTCTGGTACAAAAAAAGGAGATAAAATCTTCAATGCAGTGAGTGCCACATAATTTCACACAAGATTTGGAAGATCTTATCAGATTAAAATATTTAAAAGAAATTCCCTTTCCACAATGAAGTATCCATTAATTCAGTCAGTGTAACAGTTTTCTAAGAAACCCAAATGAAAAGCCGTCCCCAGTCATTGTAGAGAAATTACACCTTAGTTGTGAATGAACAATGCAATTTTCGTCATGTTGCCATTTAGTTTTAATCAGAGCATAGTCATATCAAAAATGTTAATTAGAATGTAGATTTCTACTCAAACTTGCTTGGAAGGAAAAATGCATCAATAAAAATTGTAGCATGCATAAATGAACAGGTCGATGAAAAAAAAACACTATTGTTTATTTAAATGATGAGTATTTCTGTTGTGAAAGCATCTTTGCTGAAGGCAAAGCATTTAATACATTTAAATTTATCTTCCAGGCCCAGAAAACTGTACTCTGGAGAAAATGAAGATGTCTGAAATATATTTAGGTGTGATGAAATAAACACGTTGGACATATTGCAGCGTGTAAAGGTTTCTGATGATGTACATCTAATCTGAGATACTTTACTGTGGTGCAGTGAAAGTATTCATGACACAAAGGGAAGTGGCACAGGCTTCTGACTTCAGTGGATTTATATCATGTAAGGATCTGACCCAGATGCTAGCATGCTTATAATATCTCTAAGAAACATGATACGTGAAGCAGGTAAGAAATCATCACTCTAGGAAACTACTTCATTTATGTGATGATCACTGTTTGTATGGGAACTGCTGAATCATGGCCTGAACCTCTGATTAGTCACCTGAGGCAAGCAATGAGTCAGCCATGGGAGCACAGGTGAAGGCAATTCACCTGTGCTACCGGAAGTGTTGGAGCCTGGCTCCACCTCTTCTAGATCCCATTTAAGTGCTGACTACCACAGAGGAAGGATGTTGTCTTAGAGATCACTCCTTGTGGAGAATATTGTGAGCCTACAACGTGAGTAAGCATTTTCCATTTATTATCTTCCTGTTGCAATAATCTTACTTAGTCTAACTTTCCTGGATATTTCTTAATTATAGCACCTTATATTCATTGATTATGTGCTGTTCTTACACTATGAATCTGTGTCTTTATCTTGTACCTTCCTGACACACAAGCTTAAAGGTGGTGCTTCCTCAGTTTCCTGCTTGTGCATCCCTTTGGCACAGCTGTTGTGTGCTGATACAGTTTCTTGTGGTATGAATCAGATTAGGGGACATCTCCTGATAGAAATACAGAAGGAAACAGTGTGCCTCTTTTTCCTTTATTTTCCACTTAGTTGGATCAGTTCCTGATCTGATAATGGATCTGCTCATGGTCTTTAGTGTTCTGCACCAGTGGGATAGTGTACTGTGACTCAGAAGTTGTGGGAGGAAGGGATTTGGAGCATGGTAGTGCCTCAGATGTGTAACATGTTGTGTTAAACATCGCTTTAAGAATAAACTGTAATTTTTTTCCTTCACATATATTTTATGAATAAACTTTATGAATAATTTCTTCTATTACTGTCACTATAGTTTACTAGCACACTTAAAACACAGTTGTTTAACCAAAGTAACTTAAGTAGTTCCAGATACATAAGCTCTTTTACCTGGTATAAGGAATCTTTGAGGTATTCTACTTGCATAAGAATGGTTATGTCCCACCAGTTGTATTCAGCAGATATGTGTCAGTCACAAACTAAGGAAGTTTATATTCATGAAGCTGGTAGCACTGTGGATTGTTTTTATTCTTGGCTAGATTTTTCCATTCTTGTATCATATGACTACTTATATCCATTCAGTACTTCAGAATATTTTTGTTACTGTCATCTGATAAATACAATTTTTTCAAGAGGTGCTATGAGGAGTACAGATGAGTACTTGAAAGGAGGAGTATGAGTGTATTGTTAGTTACTTCTACCATGACTTCTATCACAGGGATAACTCCCTTGTGTTTTTCCTGGCCTCTTATGGCTCATCATCTGGGAGCTTCTAAATATACAAAGTTATGTGCTGAAACTACTTTTGCATTAAATTACTGGAGCAAACAACTGGAGGATTTTTTTCCAGTCCTGTGAACGAAAACCTTGCAAAGTATTTGGTGGAGGAGAGACAGGGATATGGGCTCTGCAGAGAAGAATCATCTCTTACATACACAGTAATGGCAGATAAAGGCATAAAGCATCTTAATTTTAATAAAACTGTTTCTGAGAATCTCAGTTTTTGGCATCAGAAAAAAGTTGTTTTTCTTTAATTCTGGAATGTTTATATAATACATTGATTTCTGGATAAATCCTGATGTAACTATCTTTGAACTCTGTCATGGCAACATTTTACAATAGTTGAGTTTCTGTTCCCGGATTGATATGTCAAAGATTAATGACTATCTTATTCAAAATCAAGGAGTCATTTATAGAGGAGTTAAGATGTAGATGATGTGTCAGTGAATGGTTTTCTCTTTCATATCTAAGAAAACTTGTAGCTCACCTATTTTTATGAGCACTTAAGGCTACATTCTGATGATCTGTTAGTTCTCTGCTCAGTGTTTCATGGTACTTATCTGCATAATTCTGAGTGCTCAGGTCAGTGCAAATGCCCATGATGCTTTTGGAAGTATCAGGTGTAAGAGCTATTGTCTGCAAGAGGTGTTGGTGATGACATGACCAGGTAAACTGGTGTACTTATCAGCCAGATCATTCAAATTAGAGTTCTACAAACATTTGCAGTGAACAGTTAACGGATTATACATATTTCTGCAGATTCCAGAAGCTTTTGTAAATCATTCCTTTTAATGACATTGTTAGTATGTGGACTTGTTTTCTTCAATGCATTATGATTGTTTTGGGAATGCTAAGTGTCTAATACTGCTACTTTTGTTCAATACAGTAATTGCATAATAAAAACATTCTAGAAAAAAAAAATCAACTGATCACCGTATTTAGGTACCATATCTGGTTCCTGTCAAACTGAAATTCAAGAGTCCAGTTCTTCTCATTCAAGTTTCTGAAATTCACACATTTTTCAAACAGAATTGATTCAGATATAAGGAAAATAACCAGTCTACAAATAACAAGAATCTTTTTTCCAGTTCTGGCAAAACTGGAAAAATTATTTTAAAGTCTAATAATGCTTTGCTAGAATAATGTGTTATCTTTGTGCTCAAAATGATGTCAACAACAAAAAGTTCTTAAAGAACTTACCAGAATATTCTTATTTCATACTTTGTAACATGGGTTATTAAATCATATAATGTATCAGACATCTCACGCTATTAATCATTTGCATTGCCTTGATAAGAAAGAGTTCATGACTATGAATAAAAATTGCATCAAAATTATTGTGGTCTCAAATTAGTCTACAAAGATAATGAAACAAGTAGTGGAAAGGTTTTCTATGAAAGTAGTTAAACACAGAGGTATTGAACGTAGCTTGGATGGCTCTTTTCTTCCCATCAATATCTTTCAGGGAAACTTTCATGGAATTGTATCGTGTCTTTAAGCTGCAGTAAGACCAGCTAGAAAGCTAATTCAGTGCTTAAAAAAACCACATATTATTGTTGTGGCTTGCATCATTTAATTATTTGAAAACATGTTAATTACATTAAAAAGACAATAACTTCTGTTTTCACACTAATAACCTAATCTTGTGGTGATTTTAGTCTAGAGGTGGTGTATAATGAAATATGCTGTTAAAACTTACTCAGGTGGATTAGGCTAAAAAAAAAGTGGTAACATCTTCTGCTTAACAGGCATTTAGAGTGGTGGAGAGAGAAGGGTAGAGGTGGTGGTGGCTAGAGAGTCTTTGCAGTGTAGTAAACAAGGAGCCCAATAAAATGGATGGATTTTGAAGGAGGTGCTTTATTGAAATTGTACAGAATTTCCCTCTCATTTATAGATCTGCAGCACTATGGGAAGTTTATGATCATCATTTGAGTCAGTATGATTTTTAAAATGGGGATCTTGCGTATATGTGGCATATCAAGTCAGGCAACATCTTTTTGTGGAAGAAATCATTGCTGAAGTCTTAATTCTGCACTCCCCTCCTCCCAGGAAAACAATTCTTAGGTGGGGAAGGATGGACTAGTAAGATCAAAGCACCTGTATAGGAGTATGTTTTGATAGAGACTTTTGTACACATATTCCTCCATAGCAACACTTCAGTTGGTTCAGCTATTCTATCTTCATACCTTTATCTAGTTTTATAGGCTCTGTCACATACCTCACAGGAAAGAAAATAAAAATGGAGTAAGTTGTATTCAAGGGCTTCAGCTCACTTCACATTTTGCTGCACATTTGTGATGTATTATCAGTGTATTATCTAAGCAGGTATTTAGACAGGATTATCCAGCCAGAATTTTTGAAAATCCAGTTAGCATGAGATCTAGACTTATATTCTGTCTCAATAAATGTAAATTTGTATTGCAGCTTATTCAATTAATGACTCATCTTTTTTAAAGCTTCTTGAAGTCTAAATCTGTGTATCAGTAACAAATATACTATTGACTGTGTTACATTAGCAGTTACACAGAGGGCAGAACAGACTACATCCAGAATATTGCTAAAATCACATGACAGATATTCATACAAATCTTGAACCAGTTGAGGTACAAAGACCTCTGAGTACTCAATTTCTCTGGGAAGATACATAATTATTTCACTACTATGGAAATTTGTTTTTAATGTGTATTTTTATTAATGGGATATGTAAAGATAGGTGTCATTTATTATTTCTTTTATGAGAGCTAATCATCTCATTGAGCTGTTGCATATTGCCTACTTATTGTGAAACTGGAATGGGATGTATTATGCATCAAAGGCACAACAGAACAAAATCAAAGGATAGCTGAATTGAGTATATGATATGCCTTGTGAAATAAAGGTGGCTTGTTCTGACTGTAACTTACATTTTTGTCAGGTGCGGATACAGAATTCAAGTACTTATCAAGAGTTATGCTTCTCTAAAATGCTGTTCTAGATTTCCCTGTGAATATGTATGTACACAGAGCAGATATGCAGAACATGCATGCTTTATCTTCGTATTAGGAGGACATCCATAAATCAAGCTATATTTAAAGTATTTTCAGCTACTGCCATAGTCTTTTGAGAAACACAGAAATAATTTAGATGCACAAATATTAAAGTAAAGGAATAGGAACTGAAGGCCATGCTAAGGTGGCTTGAGTTCATCCAAATCTCTTTGTCTTTGAAGAAAAGTTTATAAAGTGCTCAACAGAAGCTGACTCGATGTCAGCAAACTGGTACTGGGAGATGTTTTGACTATATGGCTGTTTCTGCAAGTCATTTATCCATTATCCAGTGATAAATGGGCTGTCTCTTCTTTACCAAGATGTGTTCGTTATCTTGATCTACATGAGATTTTTACTGTGACAAGTCAGCAAGCACCAATTTCTGGACTGTACCATGAGCTTGAGTGAAGGAAGATCTGCTTGTCCTTGACCAGGTTGAGCTTGGGGTGTCATAAACTTCCAGTTACGTAAATTACTACATTTGATACTTTGAACAGTTGAGAAAATGAGTAAGAATACAAAAGCACAGGAAGAATGTGATCTGTCTCCCTTCTAGGCTTTTACAATCTGGGTGCTTGGAGATAAGTTCATCTCATGTTTGGTCTCAAGGAGATAGTAAAAGTTTTGGTAACATAAGAAACTCTTCATCAGTTCTTCCCCATGGCTTTCAGTCATGACTCTTTCAGAGTTGATCCCTAATATTCCTAGTATATGGAATATACTTCAAATGCTTAAGCTGTTCTCTGAGACTGTGTGATAACTTAGGGAAAGTCAATTAAATTCCTGATCTCCAGAACATCAGATAGTGTCTTTTACATAACTAACCAAGCAAACAAACAAGATAGAAACAGCTGTTTCTATTCACTCAATTATGAAAAGCATGTGAATATTACTTCAAATTCTTTCTTTTTTTCAGAATTTATTTTCATTTGAAAAGTCTCCAGAAAAGT